CATCCCTAATTTCCCAAAGGACAGTTAAGAGTCAACCACATTGCTGTGGGTCTGGAGTCACATTTAGGCCAAACCAGGTAAGCACAGTTATTTCCTTCCCTAAAGGATTTTAGTGAACCAGATGGGATTTTCTGATTCACTTTAGACTTAAGGCTTAACATAGGAGCAGAAGTAGGCTATCATGTATGCTAAGCTGATCTGATAATTCTCAACTCTACTTTCCTGGCCTTTTGCTATAACCCCTTGATTCCCATTCTAATGAAAAATTTCCCATAAGCTGAAGTAATCTTTCTACATCTACTCTTTCAAGTCCCCTAAGAATCTGTATTTTTCAATAAAGTTGCCTCTCATTCTTCTGCATTTCATTAAGTACAAATCCAATCTATTCAACCTCTCCTCATAAGTCAGTCTTCCCATACCTGGTGCCAGCCTAGTCCAACCTTCCCTGGACTGCCCCTAATGCCAGTACGTCGTTCCTTAGATAAGAATCCCAGCACTGTGCATGTGATTCCAGCTGTCATCTGTCAAGTGCCCTCTATAATTTGAGAAAAGTCTCCCTACTTTTATACTTGATCCCATTTGTCTTCCCTATTATCTGATGAACTTGGATGCTACCTTTTTGTGATTCATTGTTGAGGATTCTCAATTTTTTTGTGTTGCTTTTTGCAGCCTTTCTCCATTTAAATAATATTTTACTCCACTTCTTCCTGCCAAAGTGTATAATCTCATATTTTCCCACAATATATTTCTTCTGCCAAGATTTTGCTTACTCGCTTAACCTGTCAATAGCTCTCTGCTGACTTCTTGTGTCATCCTCACCACTTGTCTTCCCGCTTATTTTTGTGTCATCCACAAACTTGGCTGTAGTCCTTTCACTTTCCTCTTCTGATCTTGACCGTAATTGAAATACTTCGGAATTGTAGTCTTTGCTGTGATGAAAGAAGTGTAGTGAGATATCTGAATGAATTTAGGGGAGTTTAAGGGTAGGGAGCATAGTTAAAAAATAGAACCATATCTTTAGAAATTGCATGAGGGAACAGCTATACACTGGAAATTTGGAAGAAACTTGGAACTTCCTTCTACAAATAATAATTAATGTTGCATCAGTATTACTGAAATTGAGATGCTGTATAAAGGATGGTAACTCCCTGGCTAAAACCTTCCAGATTTGTGCATATGTGCTAAAAATTGGTTGTGATCTTATGAGTCTACAGGATGCATGTGTGATGGCATTTTTGTGTGTGGACCTATGTTGGTTATTTTGGGAAAAAAATCTGTTGGTAACATGCCTTTTTTTGGCTGCATCAACTAATAAAGAAGTTAGTGCTGAAAAAGAAAGTGTTGCAATCTGAAAAGTGGCCCCTGATGATCAAAATGTAACCCACAACAAAATATGCAATGGAATTCTAGGGACCTCTGATGCAAATACAACAGGAAAATTGCCATGCACAGCCAACATCAGATGAAAACTCTGTTTAAGGGAAGTTAGATTGTACAAATGAATAGGTTTTAATTCGTGTGCGATATGAAAATTTAACATTCTCAAACCCATTAGCAATAACCCACCTCCAATCTACCTACTTCTGCATTAAATGGAAATGAATGCGGGTGTAGGCAGCCCAGTCAACCTACTCTCAACCTACAAGTGGGTTATTTAAATTTTATAATGAACCTGTGCGTGTGAGAGTTAACCAAATTTCCAGAAGTAACTCTGTGTTTTATCAGGTCTGAACAAACCTACCAACTAGTGTGGGTGCTTGGGAGGACTGCTGTCTGCAGACGTAAAGTACCTGTACAGCTGCTCTTGTTACGTAAGAAGACTAAACATGCTTCAGTGTCTTCCAACAAGAGCACTTCCCACGCACTCACAGAACCTGTCCCATTGAATATCACAGCCCATATATCCCAGAAAAACAACTTGAAATGTAAAATGAAATGTCACCCCCAGGTAAAATCGGTGAAACTGTCCAATCAAACTTCTTAATTGGTGTGGTCCTTCCCAGAATGCAGTGTCATATTTGTGTGAGGACGTGTCCTAATTTATTGGGATGCTCTGAATATTTTTCAATTAAGATGGTTGTTTCAAAGTCAGTCCTGACTTATTCTGTTTAATGTCAAACCTAGTACATTTTAAGAGCCTCAAAGCCTACGCAATCTTAAATTCCCCTTTTATTATATCTTTCACACATTCCTCGAATTTCTTCGAACCTCCCCACAGAAGATCATTAACTTACTTCATGAAGATGCTTGCCAGTTTTCTTTTATGATATCAGTAGAAAATTGCTGGGTCTGCTTCAGGTTGAATACAATCCATTTTCAGTAAGACAGACCTACCTGAGAAATACCATGCCCTCACTGCATCATTCAATCCTGAACCACATTTGTTTAATTTCCATAGCTGCCTTTGTATATCACCTGCTTCTTTAGGTAGTTTCAAAAATACCTCCCTTTGAAACTTCTCAAACTGTATAGATGCAGTTTTTATATTGATTCATTTACATCACTTGTTAGTATTACAGATCACTTTTTGATATTACACAAATATACTGTAATATCTCGATCACCAATTTTCTCTTCCAAAGCTCAATGTTAGTTTGCCTTCAGCTTTGTATATCCCATCAAGAATCACTTCTCCTGTGAATCTCCATCCATGCAATAAGCCTAGTTGTTCACTAACTCACTGTACCTCAGTGTGCACACCAAATTCTTTCCAGTTCTTCAACTATTTCTGTTTGGCAACTTTTATAAACTTACCTTCTGACTTGTTTGTAGCCACTAAGACATCTCGATCATGAGGGCATCTACGTTTTGTGGTATTTACACCTTGTTCCATCTCTACTTCATTTAAGCTATTACAAGATCTTTCTCTCCTAGGATCAGAATTCCTTTTGCAAGTTTGGAATTTTTTCCTAGCACCACATTCATTTTCACATTCACTTTCAGAAATTGTACTGCACTTCCTTGCCTTCCACATCAGCACCTCATTTGGTAATTTGTAGATTTTATCACCTGTCCTTCTTCATGTTGCAAATTTAACCAAAGTTTACATTTGCCAGTAGCTTGCCTGTCTCTCTTTATAATGGTGACATCTCTCCTGGCATACATGTTACTTTCGTGCCAACTTTCTGGAATTGTCCTCTGGGGCAAATAGCTTTGTCCACAGTTTCTCGACCACTTTGCCCATATTCACTCAGCCTTTTATCTGCCATAATCTGCTCCTCATAGGTGTACAATTTATGTGTATGCTGTGTGTATGGTGCCTGATCACTTTTTATGATTTGTTCAGATTCTGTCAGTTTGTAATCAGTGCCAATTAGCTTTGAGGAATGCACCCAAACAGTTTGATTGGAGTGCAGATAAGCTTAAACATTTACCACCAGTGAGGTTCACTTGAGAGAGTTGCTCTGTAAAAACCTTGGGTGTTTATGGCTTCCTACTGGGAGTCCTTTCCCCACAACTCCTCTCCCATCCTCCTCATATTGACATTTTCAGCTCTCTGTGGCCTCTGGTGATCCTCTGAATTGGGCTTTTTTTTCAGGAGGAAGCCCTATCAATGCAGTCATGTCATAAAGTCATTACAGAAAGCGTTCATTTAGCCCACTGAGTTCACGTCAGCTCTCAGTAGAAAATCCAGTCAGTACCAAAGCTCTACCTTATCCCCATTGCCAGGCCATCTCCCATGTGCCCATCAGTTTTCTTTTGAAATCATTCAGTGTCTCCATTTCCATCAATCTCTTAGACTGTGAATTTTAAGGTATAACTATCATTGTATTAAATTAAAAATAAATTTGTTCTTCTCACCCCCTGTATATTTTGCCCAAAACCTTAAATCTATCCCCCACCTGTCAGTTTTTCTTTGTCTACTTTATCCAAATCTGTCAGAATCTTAAACACTTCTAACAAATCTCCCTTCAACATCCTGTCTTCCAACTGGAAGTATCTGTTTGATGTAGAAGCCCTGAAGTCAACAAAATACTTAGCACTGCCACACTACTCCCTGTAGACTTTTGCAGCTCAAAACAACTGTGGAAAGCATAAATAAATAAATAAAACTTAGCAGCTAAAAGAACTTAAACCCGCAAGTAACATGTTGGAAGCTGATGATCTCTTTTAAATGTGAAGGTGGGAATGGGAGGGGTTCTTTTGTAATGTTTAACATGCTTTCAGGCCTGTGACATTATGCTAGCATGTTGGCTAGGGTATGGCAAAGCTGGTGTCAAGTCAGAGTTACTTTGCATACTTCCAACTAAATCCTTTATCGTGATGGCATCTACCAAGCTTCATTTCAGAAGTGCGCCCACACCATCGATGTAGTGTTGAAAACCTAAGGGCACAAAGGCTAAGAAGAGTAAGGGCTTATGTCACTCCCTCAATGCAATGAATAAACAGTCACTTTTGCTTCTCTCTCTCTCTTTCTCTTCTGTCACATTGTCTTATTCTTCTGTTTCAGACTATCTTGCCCTTTTTATTCTCAAATTGCAGTCAAGGAGAGAAACTAGCATCATGATCCAGGTTATCAGCTATGTTTCATGGGGCAGTTTCAGCTAGTGACTTGGGTAGGTGAACAAAGGCAGTGGCACTGCAGCACAGTATGAGGGTCAGCAGCATCTTCCAGACGCTCCAGAAAGAACCAAAACTACAGTAAATGGTAATTATAGCAGTAATGAGGACTGTAGACTTTTGTTTTTATTAAATTCTTAAAATTCACTTGAATTGGCTGTTTCTGTCACTGAATTTCAAGATGGAGCACTTTTCAATAACTGTACTAATGAGTGACCTAAATGAGAGATTTGTCAGAAGTTAGAGCTTCAGAAACAGATAATGGTTGTAGCCTAGGATTAACTTCTGTCAGTTTAATATATTAGTGTCTTGTTTTGGATCAGTTATGCATTTATTGGAAGTCAATTCCAGATGACAATATCTGCACTTTATTTTTAGAAAAACTAACATCTGTTTGAGAACTAATAGGACAGTTTATTGAAAATGTGTTTGTTTTACAGACAGTGGCTAAAATCTGATGACATTAAAAGAATTTCCCTTTTCTTTCACAATCAAGAATTAGAGAAAGAGGTAAGAGTCACTTTTAACTAAAATATTGATGTATAGATGTAAGATATTTGGGATGAAATTAGATAAGCCAACTACAGGTTTGGAGTTAATGGCACCTATTTATTTGATCACAGGCAACATATTACACTCCTAACCTTTGATGTTTTAATCAATTTCTGCTTTGCTTGTTAAGTGAATGAATCAGTTTTGGGGCCAATATTGTTCTGACAAGTGCTATTTAAAGGCAACCTCCATATCTTAAAAGGGAGATGCACTGTGACTGTAGGAGATGGTACTAGTCCTTTGTAAATTGAATTAGGACTATGATGTATTGAAAGATGACAGCTTGAATCAAAGTTTTGATGTTTCAATGGGAGGATTAATGCAAGAAGTGGAGAGACGAGAGACATCTCGGTCAGTGGTGAGATACTTGGGGGTTAGGTGGCAGGTTGCCCTTATAAAAATGAGGAACTTAGGAACAAGATGAGGCATTTTAAACCCTCAAGTTTGTGGTGTAATTCAGTGAGATCTCTAACATAATTTTGCCCTATCCCATAATACCTTGGCTGACAAAAGTCTATGAAACACAATTTAAAATTAACATTGATCAAACATCAATTGTCAGATATGAAAGGAAGTTCTAAGCTTCTACCACAATTTATCAGTGGAAGTGTTTCTTAAATCAGCTGCTGAAAGGTCCAGCTCTAATTTTTAGTTCATGTCCCCAGTCTTCCAGCAGAAAGACTTGCTCTCTATCTAACCTAACTGTTCTCCATGATACCTTGGAAACTTTGATCAAATCATTCCTCAAGTTCTGGGAAATGCAACAAAGTTAGTATATTGATTCCACATAGTTTAACCCTTGGTGTCCATGCATCATTTTTATAATCTAAGGGCCAGCATTTTACTATTTCTTTTGATTATTATGTGCAGGCTTCGTGACATTTTAATGGTCAATGAACCTCCAGTTCTCTATGTACCTTGTCTTTTTCTAACTTTGCATCATTTAGAAATTACTCTGGTCTATCCTTTCTTAGATTCTAAACAGATGACTTCACATTTCTCCTCTTGGAATGTATTTGCCATAGTTTTGTCCATTCACTTAATCTATCAATAACTCTGTAATTTTATGCTTCCGTGATGCTCTCTACACTACCACCTATCTTTTTCATCTGCTTTCCATTCTGGAATCTAATTGATTAAGAAATGTGATAAGTAGCTGAGGCCCCAATATAGTTTCTTGTGGGATACCACTTGCCATATGCTGCCAATTATACATGTCTTTTATCCACATCCTCCATCTCCTGCCATCAAATAATTCTTAATCACATAAATAATTAGCCTTCACTTCCATCAACTTCAGCTTTATATAACAGTATCTTTTGAAAAACTTTATCAAATGCCTTCTGGAAGGAAATATAAATAAAGTTAATAGATATTCCCCCATCCATACTTTTGTTAAATCTTCAAAATTTCAATCAAGTTTGTCAGATGTCTTACCTTTACAAGTCTATGCTGACACTCTGAGAAGAGCTGAAAGTTTTAAAGGTGTTCAGTCACCCTGTCCTTTTTTATACACTTTAGCAGTTCTAATGGTAGCCAACTTGAAGCATTAATGCTGTGTTTCTCACTTGACAGATGCTGCCAGACCTGCTGAATATTTCCAGAACCTCTGTTTTTCTTTCAGATTTCCAGCATCTACAGTACTTTGTTATTGCAAGACTGCTTGGGAACATGTACATATTGGTTTATAGGAAGACTGATTACTTCAGGTTGATTTAACAAAAGCCCTCTCACAACATCTGGGGCCATTACCTCACTGTACTGAGAAAAATAAGAATTTATAGTAATGTGCACTTTATTTTTACATTAGCTCTTTGATTCATTCGTATTTTCATATTAACTCCTGTAGTATCGGGCAACTACACTTCCAGCCTTCAAGTACTATGTCACCTGTGCTTGCCTCATATTTTTCTGTATCTTCATCGTTCAGATTCTGGTGTTGCCAAAGTAAGTATGTTTGCACAATTTCCTTTAGTTTTATTCAAACTTGAGATGTGGGCGTCAGTTTCTTGGCCAGCAGTTTTTTACCCAGCCCAATTTTCCTGGAAGGAATGTGGAGAAATGTTGAACCACTGTAGTCTTTAATGTGTAGGATACAAGCACTTCTTTCCCCTTGTGTGCACCTGTTTTTGTTTAGAAAAGAATGTCTGGGCTTGCAGCCAAGCCTCATTATGCATTGGGTATGTTTTGTAAGACAATGTGCATGTAACTTGTAAAATTGGACAGAACTTTAATATAAGGCTCGTTTGGCAAATGAGGTCTTTTACACATGTATGTTTGCCTTCATTCAGTGATTGCTTTGTAATGCATGTTAATAGAGTCACTGCAAGAAATTTTGCTTTATAATTAGGAGAGCAAACTTCTGTTTTCTCTTCTCCATACCATACTTAGTCATGTTGCATACCATGATCAAGCTAAAGAGCAAAATCCAACTTTGTCAATGGCACCCATGCCCATGTAAATTGGATACTAGGGTGCGTAAATTATGTTGACCAGCAATTTGGGACAGCTGTTCTACTAGGTTTTCCATTTTTGGAGGTAGGCTGTATCATGGGCCAGTGTTTACCACACTGGCTGAGATTGGACTTTAAAGCAGTAAGGAATCATGACTTTAAATTCACGTAATTCTATTATGTTGGAATTTAAGAATGCAGCCAGTGACTCCTTTGCATATCAGCTGGATTCTAAAAGTGTTAACACATTTATTTAGAATTATTCTCATTCTGAGCCGAAAGATTGAGAGTTAATGCTCCATTCAAATTGTTAACTACATATCTTCGGTGGTAGTCAGTTAAAGAAGCTGAGACCATAAACAAAGGTTTTGTCTGCTTAGTCCAGTGGTTCAGGTGGATGTTAAAGAAACCAAAGCACGAGGAGCACGAACAGTTCATCCACTTCACTAACACCTTCCACCCCAACCTTAAGTTTACCTGGACCATCTCTAACACCTCTCTACCTCTCTCCCCTTCCTGGACCTCTCTGTCTCCATATCGGGCAACCACCTAGAAACTGATATTCATTTCAAGCCCACCGACTCCCGCAGCTACCTAGAATACTCCTCCTCCCACCCACCTTCCTGCAAAAATGCTATCTCCTATTCCCAATTCCTTCGCCTCCGCCGCATCTGCTCCCAGGATGAGGCATTCCACTCCCGTACATCTCAGTTGTCCTCGTTTTTCAAGGACCGTAACTTCCCCTCCTCGGTGGTCGAGAACGCCCTCAACCGTGTCTCCCACATCTCCCGCACCTCATCCCTCACACCCCGTCCACGCAATAAGAACCAAAAAAGAATCCCCCTCATCCTCACGTACCACCCCACCAACCTCCGGATCCAACGCATCATCCTCCGACACTTCCGCCATCTGCAATCCGACCCCACCACCAAAGACATCTTTCCCTCCCCACCCTTATCTGCTTTCCGGAGGGACCACTCTCTCCGTGACTCCCTTGTCCGCTCCACACTCCCCTCCAGCTCCACCACACCCGGCACTTTTCCCTGCAACCGCAGGAAGTGCTACACCTGCCCCCATATCTCCTCCCTCACCCCCATCCCAGGCCCCAAGAAGACTTTCCACATCAAGCAGATGTTCACCTGCACATCTGCCAATGTGGTATACTGCATCCGCTGTACCCGGTGTGGCTTCCTCTACATCGGGGAAACCAAGCAGAGGCTCGGGGACCGCTTTGCAGAACACCTACGCTCGGTTCGCAATAAACAACTGCACCTCCCAGTCGCGAACCATTTCAACTCCCCCTCCCATTCCTCAGACGACATGTCCATCCTGGGCCTCCTGCAGTGCCACAACGATGCCACCTGAAGGTTGCAGGAACAGCAACTCATATTCCGCTTGGGAACCCTGCAGCCCAATGGTATCAATGTGGATTTCACAAGTTTCAAAATCTCCCCTCCCCCTACCACATCCCAAAACCAGTCCAGCTCGTCCCTGCCTCCCTAACCTGTTCTTCCTCCCACCTATCCCCTCCTCCCACCTCAAGCTGCACCTCCATCTCCTACCGACCAACCTCATCCCGCCCCCTTGACCTGTCCGTCCTCCCTGGACTGACCTATCCCCTTCCTAACTCCCTACCTACACTCACCTTTACTGGCTCCATCCCCGCCTCTTCGACCTGTTTGTTTCCTCTCCACCTATCCTCTCCTCTATCCCTCTTCTATCCGCCTCCCACTCTCTCCCTATTTATTTCGGAACCCCCTTCCCCTCCCCCTTTTCTGATGAAGGGTCTAGGCCCGAAACATCAGCCTCTCTGCTCCTATGATGCTGCTTGGCCTGCTGTGTTCATCCAGCCCTGCACCTTGTTGTCTCAAAGCACTATTAATGCAGGTTTCTGGCCAGCATTCCTCTTCCAATCAACACCACTAAAAGTAAATGAATTGTATTCCTCTCATTCTGTTGCTTTGTTGAGTCCAGTGTGCAATATGTTTATCAAATCTATCCGTATCACCAAAGTGACAACAATTCATAAGATATATAATACATGTAGGACATTTTGTGAGATGTGTGGTGCTGTTTTGATTGCAAGCAAAAGTTGAAACATTTGTTGGTTAATTCTGAAACTATTAATATTATTTTTGGACATGATCAACATACGTTTATTTTAACTTTAATGTTTGAATTTGTTGTAGAACTTCTATTCTTGGGATTTCATTTGGAACTGCTTTCCTTACACTTGTCTTCATTCTCTTCACCTGTTTTGCAGGACAGCTTCTAGTGAGTGTTCATGTCTTTTATTTAAGAATAAAGAAAACAATAACTTATTGATAGCCATCAACTACATGAACATAAATACCTATTTGTTAATTTATTATCTTAAGCAGATATATGTGTTTATTTATGAGATCACCAAAACAGTTTAATTTTCTTAAAATGTAATGCAAATTATATTCAAGAAACCATTGCTAAAAACGCAACAGCCTCTTCAGGCAATCTATCGCTTTTTAAAAAACAATCGTCACCTCTATCATGCATTTCCTTAAGCTAGTAAGTGAAAGTGGTTGTAAATTAATGAATGCTGACCAAACTGTGTTGTGATTCACAAATGGGAGTTCATTATATCTCAATTGACATAACAGATGCCTTTTCTTTTATCATAAACATCAACAAGAATGAAACCAATCCCCAGTGCAGAGAGACAGCATACTTATTAACAATTTAGGCAAACTTGGAGAACTTAGAATTTAAGTGGGAAAAGGATTTACACTATTGTTTCATATTAGGAGCAGAAATGCCACAGGAGATATTTACATTAATCTGCTTTAGCACTATATAGAGCAGAAGTTCAAAAGTGACAAAGGGATCAACATGAAACACAACCATTCTAAAGCTTTGAGGTAGTGGAGATTGTAAATTTTGAAGCAATGATGACTTGTGACAGGGCATCATGTAGACACGACACAGTGCACTCATAGTACATCCCCAGTGAGTGTTAAACTAGCTGATAGACTGCCAATCAAGTGTAGTGTTCAGTAAAGGATGTTATTGGTTGTTTTTGAATGATTTTTCAGATGCATATGTCCAGGCAAGTGGAATGTACACCATCAACTCCTTACTTGTGGGCTGTCGGTTGTTTGGCAGCCTTAGGTAACAAAGAAGTGGGTCCTTTGCTCAGTTATCCTGGTGTCAAAACCAGAATATTAATGTGGGTCTTCCAGTTGAGTTTCTGATAAATAGTGACCTTTAGCCAACCCAACCAGGATGCTGATTGTGGGAGATTTGTTGACTGAATCATTGTCCCATTGAATGTCAAAGCAAAGCTGATGACAAGAGAGATCATTGCCTGCCATTTGTGTAGGTATTTTTGATCAACCAGTTTAGGAATGTAATGACACCTCCGGAGCAGAGGTGGAATTGAATCCAGGCCTGCTGACCCAGAGGTAGGAACACTACCAGTGCTCCACAAGAGCTCTTCTGGCATTTGTGTAATATTTATCAGCTTAAGATTTGCCCCCCTAAAGTGCATCATTGTACCAGATGGCTTTTTAGACAATTGAAGATAATTTAATAGTTACCATTATGGAGACAAGTTTCCTATTTCACTGATTCAATTAAAACTTCACTGCCATGGTGGGATTTGAACACATGCCCCCAGGGCATTACCTGGATTACTACTCTAGTGATATTATCATTATTCCACTGGAGTTTGAGGACTGATGATTGAACAGACCTTTTGTTTTACCCTTTATTTTAAGTGCACATTTCATCTTTAGAAATAATCTTGCATAGATATGTAGTGTCAGTGAAGAGTGGGCTTTGTTGCATACATTTTATAGTGTTGTGAAACATAAGCACGTATTCTAGAAATTATAAATCTGTGAAATGCTATTTGACCCAAAACTAAAGTTATGTATCCAATTCTGAGTACCATACCTACATGAAGGCTTTGCAGGGGCTACAGAAAAGATTTACTGTGTTCCTGCGGATAAGAATTATAGTCACATGGATAGGCCAAAGAAGCTGTGATTGTATTTCTTTGAGCAGAGTAAATTAAAATCAGTGAATAATTTAGATAAACTAACTAAAGGGAAACTATTTCTGATGCTGAGAATGAGAGACCACAGATTTAAGGCAATTGGCAAATAAACAGCTAAATCACAATAATTATAAGCAACAGGTGTTAGGTTTTGGAATGCACTACCTATAGCTACAGATTCACTAGTAATATTCAAAAGGAAGTTGGATAAATATTTGAGGGAGAAATAATTGCACAGATTGGGGGAATTGGCAGGAGACAGAGATTAATTGGATTGTTCTTTAAGGAACTGACACAGACTTGGATCAGTGTTCTCGTTATATGTTGTTGCTATTCCATGATTTTAATGGTTTTAGAATGTTGCATGACAGTTTTGTTATACAGTGGAGATCAACAGGAAAATATGTGCTGAATTAATTTATAAGTTTATGACTGCACTATAAAGATGCAGAAGTTATGCTGCAGTTTGACAAAATTCTGATTAAACATCACTGGAAGCAGATCTGGTCACCGCACCTGAGGATGGATATATTCGTCTTGAAGGGAGTACAGCGTAGGCTTACAAGAGTGATACTGAGACTTCAGGCGTTGTTATGAGGAGAGAATATACAAATTAGGTCTGTTTTATCTAGAATTGGGAAGGTTAAAGGGTGATCTGATGAAAGCCTTCAAGTTATTAAGAGGAAAAGACAGGGTAGATTAGGATAAATTAGTCCACTGGTTGGGGATTCTAGGACAAGGCAGAATAATCTGAGAATTAGGGCCAGACCATTCAGGAGAGATATTAGGAAGTGCTTCTACACACAAAGGGTGGTAGACATTTGGAAATCTCTTCCACAAAGGACAATTGATGCTAGATCAATTGTTAGTTTTAAATCTGAGATGGATTTTGTTTTGTAAGCAAAGGTATTAAGGCATATGGGCTAAAGGCAGGTTTATGGAGTTAGGCCACAGATCAGCCGTGATCTTACTAAATGGCAACAAGGCTTGAAGAGCTTAATGGCTTACTCCTGCTCCTTTTAATAAAGTAAGCGCTTGAATTTGTACATTTGGGCACATCTTTGTGATTTGAGTGCTTTTTGAAACAACTGTAAGCTGGTAAATATATTTAACTTGACTGTATGCATAGGATGCAGTTGAAGAATTTTAACATTTTAACTAATGGTTCTTTTCCATGTAGCAATGTAGCAAGAAGGCTTCAGCATCCTTGGCATGGATTTTGAAATCTTCTGAGATAATTGCGAACAAACCTTTACCACGGCTTACACTCACAATGACAACCACCACAGTTATATTAGTTATGGCCATATTTAACATGGTAAGTGTTTTGTATAATTAAACTTACAATTCTTTTTAACATTGGAAGATTAATCTTCTTTATTAAATGTATTTTTCTACTACTATATTAAGTTACCCATATTTATTTGCTTCCTGCTCGAGTCATAAACCATGCACACTTGAGAATAAAAACAAATCTTTGCTCCTGGGTTTTCTTCCAATACTGAAGCAGAATTGATCAGTCATCAAAGTTCGTGTACAAATAAGCCACAAATGATTTGGGCTCTTTGCTTTAGTGGCAAAGTGTGTTGCGTATGTGCTTCATGCAACTGATAATGGATGCTTACTAAATTATAAACTCTCAACCTAAACACTGCATTGTACATAGGTGTTCCAACATGCATTACTACCCTTTCACTGTTTGAAATCCAACAAGTTGTTAAGTTTTGCAATTATCATCAATGTGTAATTTGAGTTTAACAATCTTAAAGCATAACCTTTGCATCTGTCTGTTTCCTTTACTTTCCAAGTTTCAGTCTTACTCTATTTCTCTCTTGTTTTTGCTTAGGGGCTGTTCATCATTCTGTCATTGATACCTATTGTTATGCATGGGACTCCCAGCAGCACAAAATAATCGCACATTTATACACAAAATGCTGGAGCTTTCTTCAAATGTATTTTACAGATCACATTGTTTGCTGAGGATTGGTAGGGTCCCTTCTACAGTGGGATGAAAATGGCATGGATTTTCTTCCGGTAGTGTTGAGGCATTAAAAATGAGGCATGTATGGTTCACAATCACAAATATATTCAAAGTTTCCCAAAAGATTGTTAATGGTAACCAGGAGAGCACACACCCATGACAGCAAGTTTTGAGCCAGATGAATATTGCCAGTGTTTCTGTTGATTCGAGGAATAATTGATGGAACACTTGCCACTGAAGTTTCCATTTGAGAACTCCAAAAATCCTGTGCAGGTATTTCTGCTATAACGCATGTTTTGTTAACACAAATTGGCTGTAATGCGATTGATGAATAGTGGGCGCTGTTTGGATAACGCAAACTTTCTGCTGTACAGGTTTAGCAATTTCCCTATAACATGATTTCCTGTGGCAATTCGCTGTAGCACAAGGTCACACAAGAACGCAACTATCACATTATAGGAGAAATACCTGTAATATGTAGTAGTAGTGTCCTACCCCTGGACCAAGAGGCCCGAGTTCAAGTCCCACCTGCTCCAGAGGTGATTAGAAAACAATGTAAAGTATTTTTATTCACTAAACATCCAGCTACTTTGTGATGCCAGTCACCGTACCAAGCATTATGAAACATACATGCTGATGCAGAAAGAAGATACAACACTGGTCACACTTCTAGCAAAGCTATAATGGAACCAACCATAGGTTTCCTGAAGATAAGCTTTCGATGCCTGGACTGCATCAACAAAGCCTTGCAGTAGCTCTGGATGTCCCGTATCATTATGGCAAGTTATCCCCTCCACAACTGGAACCAACAAATTGGTGATATCCTGGGTGAAAATGAAATGGAGGATTAACAGCAATCTGACAAGGAAGATCAGGCAGATGAACAGGACATTAAACAGGTGGACCAGCTAAGAAAGCAGGACAGAGCAATGTATTATAGAGCCCAAGGGGCCAGGTATGACCCTATGGCAACCCACTTCCAGGAAGACTGAGCTGGTCCAGACATTATTTACTTGTTTGCAGATTTGTTGCTCATCTGACAAGCAGCCCACATTTAGTTCAAAGAACATCTGAATTTTGTAGTTCTTCATCTTTGTGTTCTGAATAAATGTTTCATTATCCAAGTTAATGTACAAATGATATTTTTAGATGATCCCACTTTAAAGTATACACACATAACTTGCCTTACATCACTGTTAGGGACAAAGCAACAATAAGACAGTGTATCTTATTACACAGTTACATCACATGGCATTAATGTTAGGTAGTTCTTAAGGCAACCACAAGGATACAGCACCAGAGTGATGTGTGGTGTATTTCTTCATGATTCCCACCATGTTGACATGGATCCTGAGGAAACATCTTTGAGCCTTTCTTCATCAGGCTACTGCACAATAAGGCATAGGGAATATGTGAGCATGACATCTCCAACCCTTGAAACGTCACTGTTTCCCTTAAAAAAACTCACACAAAGGAATAACCTTTCCTTACAGACAAGTGTGGAATTATCACCAATTCCATACTCTCACTCATGCAGTAAGTGAAAATGTTGAAGGATGTGTGCAAGACAGTCCTTGACATTTTTCCTGGACATTGCCATTAGTTTCAGTAATAACATGTAATGCCTTGACTGCTGTCCTTAAGTTAAGATTCTAGGATCCTTGATGGATAAAGCTATCTACCATCAAATAATCAGTCTCTTGTGAGAGATGAGTAATTGTAAAGTCTTACATCTTTGAAATGAATGAAGGGGTTTCTCATCTATCATGATTGTGACTTCACCGCATTCGACAGTGAAGGTAGTACTCCAGAAAACATTGTAACAGTGCAAATAGAAATATATAGTATCCCCACTACATCTATACATCCTAGTATGTTTTCTTCATCGTCTTGCTCCCATATTGTCGAGGTACTGTCCCAGACTCTGCAGCTGAAGTGATGGGAGCCAGTTCTGTAATTGGCCCTGTTGATGTGGAAGGCTTGTGTGGTCAACCACTGCTGTCATTGGCTTTAGATGGCCCAGACCTGCTGACAATCTCCTGCCCAGTTGCAGCTCATCCTTCTAAGGTTGTCCTACTGCAGGCTTTAGGATCACAAACTGGGGAAGGTAGAAGGGCAGGGCACCTTGAAGTGCCCTGAGAAGAAACTTCTGAGGTACATGTTGCTACTCCCTCTCTGAGGGCACCTGCTGGTACCATTCTGTCTTCCTGTGAGGAAGCAGCATCTGGAGTGAGGTTGAGCTGCCTCATTCTCCTTTTGAGTTGCCATTGATATTAAGTAGCCACAGTTAAAAGAATAGTGCAGGGTCCAGTATATCTGTGGTTGCCACTGAATTTTTCTGATGAGGTTTCTCTGGGTGCCACTAGTGCATATATAGGAGAAGAGAGGGAATTAATTGTAAAAGGTGGAAGAAAACTTGTGCCGAAGATGAAAGAGTTAGCATTAGTGGTGCTACAGCACCACAGCATAATAGAGCTTATTGGATTGGTTACCCATTGCTCAGCGTATGGCTGTCTCCGTAAACCTGTCCTTGTACAGAGTGAGGAACCTAATGTCTGCTAATGCCTGTGCCTTTCTTGGGCTTCATGGCCCAGTTGTAGCTGACTTCAGACATCAGACCTAGAAGACCTTTGTGGGACCTTCCCTTGACTAACTAATTCACATCAGCATGGAATATTAGTTCACCCTAGACAGCATTGAGATCATTGAGTAAGGATTTTAACAAGTAGTATTCAAATTGAGTTTATAATCTTAACGGCAATTTTCATTGATTCGGAAAAGCCCACAACTTTACTTGCTGATGCTTGCTGGTGGATTATACATTGGTAATTGACATAAAAATGGAAATCAGGATTATTTCTGAAAAATTCAAGGAGTCCTGCATTTGCAACAGACATAACTGCTGTGCCATCAGTTGTGGTGGAAGTCAGTTTCTTGATTGAAATGTTTTTTCTGAAGCATGTAACTTTTGAATTCATTGTAGATGTCCTTACCTCTAGTTCTCCCTTTGAGGAGTGAAGGGGTGAGAAGATCCTTTTTAGTTGTTATGCCCTTTACACCCATGCACACAAAAACCATCAGCTGGTCTGAGTCGGTCATGTTGATGGATTCATCAAACTACAGTGAGAAGCATTCCCAGTCCTTCAGGTTCTGCTTTAAAGATGTCGTTGGGCAGGTATTCTACTCGCCTTGCTACTGTGGAAGCACCAAGTGACATGCTCTGGTTGTTATTTCTTTGTTCTTAAATCTTTGAATAAAGAGACAGTCATTGTTTCCTTAATTACTTTGCCATTTGTGAATGATTTCTAGTTATTTGCCAGAAAATGGCAAAAGTGAAATGATGCTTCAGTTCAGGCCTTACCTTTTACTGCTGGTTTAGAAACAAATAACTGTTAAGCTTCCAAAATAGTCTTCAGCTCATCAGCTTTCTTTGTCTGAAGGTGTACAATACAAAGGAAAGAAAGATCCTTAAATTTACTGTGTGTCACTTCAAATTCTCTGTTTTACTTATCAGTATAACTTAGAGAATTATAAAGCAAATGCTCTTCTCTTTTACAGTTGTTAACAAAAATTCATTTTTGCATTCTGTATCGAAGTTGTACATTTTTAGTTTTTTTTAAATGGTCCAGGTTCATCACTCACCATTAGTGCTTCACCATATACTTCATGGCATCGTCCTGCTGCTGGTCACTCTGCAGACAGGCCTCTGGAACATCCAGAATGTTGATGGCTAATTTCAAGTATGGTAGCAGGGGAGGTCACATCTGTGTCGGGATTTGTTTCTGGGGCCCCTGGTCATCTTGGATGTGGGGTGAGGTAGCATTCCCTTCTTCTTTATGCTGCATGGACCTATTGGGTAAGCAGCTAAAGAAGAAAAATTACAGGTCTATGCAGAACAAGTAGCGGTATGGGACTAGGTAAGCTGCTGTTGCAGAGAGTCTGCACGGGCATGTGAGCCAAATAGTCTCCTGTGTTTCTAGTATTGTAATAAATTGGCTCTATCATCAGTCCCCAGTATATTTCTTATTCATTTGTTTGCATTAGCATTGCAAAACCTATGTTACCTGCGATGACAGTCCATCCGGGCCAAACTAAAATAACAAATTGGCAAAACCTGTTAAGAGCATGCACTTTTCTGTACCATATGGCTTCCTGAAGTAGAACTCATGCAGCAGCATGATGACCTATTACAGCGAGGGCGGTCAGACACTCTGCAATCAATCAATCAATTGTGATCTGAATGTTGGAGACCACAGTTGTAGAGGATGAACTGGATGTGAGCTCTTGAGTAAACCTGATGTGTGCGATACTGAGGCTTGTAGTCTATCAGTCTCAGG